ATTTTTTACTAATATCACAGTGTCGCTCCTTTCTTTTTTTTCAAAAGAATTCAATGTAACCCCGTTCTGAAAAAAAAAAAAAAAAAAAATTCAATAAGTATTTCGTTTGTTTACATTCAGGGAACTTAATTTGGTGAACGTACAAGTTCCAGGTAAGCCTTTGTCTCTTGAATGATATGTGTCTCCGCGAGAGCAAGGCGGGCGGCCAAATTGTCGGACTCTGGGTCAAGGATATCCGATTTTTTAATGTTGAACCGATGCGCGATCGATTCGGCAATGGTGTCGCTCTAAAAATGATTACATACAAGTTAACACTTACAGAATGAATCGTGTATATAACCGACGAGGTAAACGCGAAGATCATTACATTCATGTAAAGCGTATTCCAGTTAAAGTCATTCGTCGCCTGACTCTTTAACTTCATTTCCTTTTTCTTCTTTAAGCTCCACTTGCTTTGATCTTGATTTTGTGGCTGGGGCTTTTCTTTCGAAGGTAAGATATGTAGCAATCGTCCCATGAAAAATTTATTGTCGAGTTCAATATATGCCTTCACAGCGTGTTCGGGAATGTGGTATAGAACGTAAGCGAACCCCTTCTGCTTCTTGGTTTCCTTGTCGAGTGGCATGTGAACCTATTTCATATTAGCTTCATCAGCGGGATTGTGTGAATAATCCGAACAAAAAAATAAACATTGTAAATCGTACGTACTTCAGCGAGTGGTCCAAACTTGTTAAATTCTTTCCGCAAATCCTCTTCTGTACATATGTAAGGTAAATTACGAACAAACAAGCGACCAGTTTCACCAATAGATTCTTCCGGTGGCAACTCATCAACAGTATTGCCACGCTCATTATGAGGATTCTCGTCTTGCATCATTGAATCTTTGTCCTTGAGACTTTGTTGGTTATTGGAGTCATTAATTTCGACATCATCTGCGAACTCGACCTTTCTCTTTTTTCTAATGTTTCCAACATTACTGGATTCACCTTCGGACAAAGAATTCTTGAAAATACAGAAATATCTTCTCAGACTAAATTCGAATTATCGTGATAAAAAAGAAAAGATGCCTCACCTCCTCATCTTCTTCATCGTCCGCAACCCAATCCAACTTTCTTCTCATTCTTGATTTGAGCCAATCGGTGTCGGATACGGAACTCTTGGCATTTTTTAATTTCTCATCGCCTTCATCTGACTTATCAGAGCTATCCTCATCATCCGAGCTTAAAACTTTCCCAGCATCATTTGATTTTGTTGGCATATCCTGATAAAGCTCATCATCCGAACCTTCCTGTGCTTTAATAATTTCCTTAATATTCTTTCCATTCTTACTTTCCTGGTTTTCCGAGGCTGTCAAGTCGTCGTTTGCCCAAGTCTTTGATTTCGATCTTGGTTTCATAACTTCGATAAACTCTCGCAACTTTTCGTTACTTTGAATTTCACCCTGAAGCTTTGACTTTGGTTGATCTTTTGCCCCTTTCTTTATTATTTGATCTGACTGATTTTGATTTTGACCTTCCGAATGTCGTCTTTGGTAACTCGAAGATCCAACGCTATGCGCGCTCCATGGCCGTGGCAATGACGAATCATTAACCTTGAATGATGTTGGTGCGACGATAAGATCATTTGGAATAATTGAATTGATGATTGATTGAATTAGCGCTCACTCACAGGTTTTGCACGTTCTACGGTTATCCGTGAAGTATGGATAAAAGTATTATGAAAATATTTCAATGCTCCATTTGCCTCTTGTTCTGTGCTGTACCCGACGAAACCGAAACACCGGGATGTCCCTTCTCTACAATAATTTTGTTTATCAAGATTAATTAATTTCGTTTTGAATAATCCGGTAACTTTACCAATTCGAAACGAAATGCTAAGGTAATTACGGAGTCTTCATGATCTTGGCATCAGTCACTCTTCCTTTTGCCGCGAAATGTTCGCGAAATTTTGCATCGGTCAAATTCTTTGGAAGATTTTTTATAATTAAGCGTGACCTGAAGCATGATGATATGTTAATTAACAGAACCAGTTTCTGAATTGTTGATCGTGTTATGAATAAAATTCGTTGGAACTTACATTTTATCGAGCGTACTTACGTGAATTCATACATTCTCTAATTAAAAAATTTTTGATTTCACGTGAGCATTGGCCTTCACGTGGCAAACAGTTTAAATAAATTCGGTTCATTTGTGTATACACGACTATTTTATGGAAGCGACAGCAAAACTCGGTACGATCAAGCAGTTACGTGTATTATTCTTTGAAGTACTTGAAAAAAAAACTTTTTTTAACTGAGATACAAAATACAAACAGATGAGGATACTGGCAAAAGACAAACGCGTCTCATTGATCACCTAGCGACCTCGCTAAAGAAGACGGTCCCTGGTTCGCATACGTACACTTTATATATACTTTCTACCAAGTTAACGTCTGCAGCACCTTTGATATCTCCAAAACCATCAGCGAACGTCGAATCAACCCTTCTTAGTCGAAAATTGTTAATATTTGTAGCCGAAAGGATATCCGAGAAGGAAACTCTGGTTGTGGGTGCAGAAATTCACGAATATCATGATCTCGCCAATGAAACATTAACAATTTACGTATCCAAAGTAGATACAACGGGTTATCGCTCTGACTCGATTACACCCACTAGGAATCTATTATCCGCCTACATGAGTTTCTATTCGGAATCGGAAGAGAGAAGTAACAAGAATCTTTCGCCTAGACGTAGAGTTGTCAGATTCCATGTGTTTGCACGTTCGCAGCCTCAATATCTATTCCATCTTTCATCAAAAAATCCGACGAAACGTGTGCTCGAGTGTTCGAAATTGGTGAGATGGTGGAAAAGCATTCTTCAACAAAATTTTGTTAGTGCCGACGCACAAGCGAAAAATGCACGAGGGTGGTTTTTCATTCCGGGAGTGACCAACGAACGAAGTGCACGTATGCTAATCAATGACATGGTGTCCGATGAAACCGAGAAGCTCGAAAATCAATTTTGGAAGTATGGGTACCCGTACTTTGACACTCAAAAAGCAATTGATGTAATTCCAAGATTCGAAGACGATGCCAAGTCAAGATGGTTGAGATCGGCCGAGGATTCGCTGACAGTAAAAGAATTCTGGTATCTGGTGTCGCACGGAGGTGAGTTTGCCGGCAGTCAATTTGCTGGATTTTTTTGGGTTGAAGTAAAATCCAATGATTCTCGACAGACACTGGAGCAAGGTCATTCTGAGGATTCTATCGAAGAGATTGGTGGCCTGGTGATTGATGCTCTTACATATGATAGTGCACTTAGAGTATTGTTAGATCAGAACTTTGAATCCGAAGATGCGGCTATAAAGTCAACATTATTTTGGAAACGTTATTTCACAAATCTGCATGATGGCACGGTGTCAACTGGTAGCACTCTCAGTGTTTTGGTGGACAATCCTATGATAAAAAGGGAGATTCAACGACAACAGACAAATATTATCCCGATTAACAATTTGCAAATGTCGATTAAAAGGAAAGCACCGAGTGATGTTAAGACTTCGATTCCACCTCCACTCATAAAGAAATCAAAAGATGGTTAGAATATTTGTTCTAATGATGCTAAAACGTTTTTTAGAAAAAGTTTTTATAAGTGACTTGAAATAAGAATTATTACAACGTCCTAATTAACTGTTGAAATCATTAATTTTAGCTCTCAAGTCAATGAATAGCATTATATAAAATAATGCAGTGAGACAGACCAATAAAAATTTAATTAAAATGCCTGCACAAATTTGATATAATACATATTTCAAAGATTGATGTATCATCTTTTTTGATTTTTCATCATTCTATCACAGCTATAACTAATAAAACTGATCATTCATCATCATCATCTCCTCCTTGTGAGCGTTTAAAAGCTGCAATTTTTTGTTCGACCTTATTCCTTCTCTGCTTGAGGTTCAGACGGTGTTTCTTATACTGTAACGAAATATGAATGTCAATAATGCATTTAAAAAAAAAAAAAAAACGAATATAGAAGAATTATAAACACTAGACCAACCTTCTTAAATATCTTGTAGTCGCCCTTCTTTTCGGTGGGTTTGAACACAGGGTTTGCACGGATCTTTGCGTGAGCTTCTTTATAAACATTTTCCAGGTCGTCAGCGGAAAGACCGGCCTCAATAAATTTAGAGAACTGACGTTTATATTTTTCATCATCTTCCTCTTGAAGGAGACGCATGTAATCTGCCACATGACCTCCGTAAATATATTTTCGGAGGATTTCCGAATCTATTTTTTTTGATTCCGCATCATATCCAGGGAAACGATTTTCGCTGTGAGGAATGAAAATTCCACCATCAGAAGAACCCTTCAATGCTGCAAAGACCTTGGAGCCAGTTGATGTACGTTTTAAGCCAACATCTAAAAAGGCTTTGAAAGGATGTGGGGCATCTTCAAGCTCTTCAACCATGCTCACCGTACCATCAGGTTCGGCGACACCCACGTACTTGTCTGCTAACTTGAGTTTGGTGAGAACCCTGCGAGCAGCAAGCAAGCCAGTGGAGTATGCTACGAATATTAATCAGGGCATTAACAAAAAAGATCAGTATTAAATATTCGACTCGCAACGTAACATAAAGCATCGGGAAATTCGGGAAGATATGAAAGAAATTTTACCTGCCGCCCAATTTGTTAAACCTACTTTAATACCATAACTTGGTAGTTCATGCGAGTAAGCCGCCGTCATAACATGATCTCCTTCTAATTTAGCATAAATTATTTGAACAATTATGTCCGTGTTGGTGAAGCGGACGACCAAACGATACTTCGGGGAATTATACTTGTTCTTTGCTTGAACAACGAGTCTTTTACGGGCATAATAGTCGGTCTTGCCCTCTGCCGAATGGATGAAAAGTAGAAGAACCGATGGTTAGATGATAGATAAAATTGATTTCTTGGAAAATTTTTCTGGTCACACACGATTTCAGATAGGGGCAATAGTATATTGATCAACACGAAGATAAAAATTTCTGCTGAACTATGATATCATCACTAATCCGAACAAACATCGCAAAGGATGAGAAACCCAAACGTACCGCGCCTCCTGCGATATTTCACTTGATATCGCTTGAAGTAAGCTAAACAAATGAAAATAATAACAATGATGAATAAATAAATTGAATTCGCGTGTAAATCATAGAATAGGCATGTTGATAAAATATCCGATCCTTAAATACCTTTATTTTTTTGCGTTTTGACGAACGGCTATAAGAAAAGACAATAAAGTGAATTGAACAGGGTAAGCGCATGTATCGAGATTCTTTTCATTGAAAAAATTATATTCGAGTATCCAACCGATAATGACAAGAAATGAATTGTGACACCAATTTTTTAATGGAGTATTTCAGTAAAAAGGTATTGGATATCGATGGATGCAAGTGAAGAAAGAAAAAAAAAAAAAAGAAAAAAAAAAAAGTCTCGAGGTCCTTTTACTATTCGAACTCACTATGAAAAAGCTTTTTTTATTCTACAATCTAATCTTTTGATCCTTATGCTTCAGCATAATCTAAAAGACTATCTATATTTTACGCAAGTTATCTTACTGACCATGTTTGCGAGGCAATAGACCTGTCGAAAGAGAGAGAATTACAAAAAAAATTGATCGATATTCTTATAAGCCAATGATCATCGCTTGATTGGTGGAATCATTGTAAGCTCACGTGACACATAAACGCGATGTATAAATTTTAAAATTTAAATTTTTTTTTTTTAAAAAAAAAAATCATTCATTAGTTTATTAAAAAAATTAAAAAATTTCACTATATCGTGTATGCTGTATATATGTTCATTTTTGTTTAATGAGCCCGGCGCAAGCCCTCCTAACACCTTCATCTAGTTCCACGAGCGGTTCATACCCTAATAACTTCTTGGCCTTGTTAATATTAAAATATCGATTGTTAATAGTAAACTTTACTCTGAATCTATTGAGTCCCGCTTCTTTCCCGGTGAAACGACATGCAAACTCGGTTAATAATGCAATGAAAAATCCTAATGACCCTGGAAATTTGACAATATATGGTGGGAAGTGATCAAATTGTGCCCAAATGTATCTGAGTAAATCCCAGAATGGAATGGGTGACCCATTTGTAATTATAAAGACCTAGAAGGCAAAACAAGAAAACGATACGTCACTATTCTTCAAAAATTCGCGTGGAACGTGCGTAGGCCTACCTCGCCTGCTACCGGACTACCGTCAAACAATTTATCGGATGCCAGTATATGAGCATGAGCCGCGTTTTCGACGTAGGTATAGTCAACTAAATTATAATTGTTGCCAATTTGAATTTTGGTTTGACCTTGTTGCATGACTTTTATCACTGCCGGAATGAGCTGTCGATCATTGGGACTTTTTTTGCAATGATAAAACTTATTAAAAATTTAGATTTAAAGAGTTTTTACGAATAATCGACTTGGGAGTTAAATATTCACCCGAAAATAGCGGAGGGACGGATGATGGCTACGAGAAGGCCACCTCTTCCATTTGCATTAATTACCAACTTTTCGCCTTCCATCTAATTCAAAGTTGCCATGTTTAGGATGATTCCGGAAAGTAATCACACCTCACACATTAAACATTCTAACCTTCGTTTCATTATAGACATCCATCGGCTTTTCGGGATATGGTGTCGTTTCGTCTACACCAATCAATTCATGGACGCCATCATAAATCACGCTAGAACTACTTGTGTACACCAATTTCTTAACTCCATTTGTAATGCAAGATTCGACAACATTCTTGGTTCCCTCCACGTTGACCTTCCAATACACTTCTGCCGGAGCTCCGACGTGAGGTGGAGATACTGTGTGAAACACAGTTGTGGCGTTTGATTTTTTTATAGCGTCATCAACGTCCCGATAATTACACAGGTCACCAGCATAATAAGTTACCTTTTCATCAAAGTACCTTTGCGAAAGGTCAAAGGTCGAGACATTTTTATCGCCCCTCTTAAGAAGTAAATCTACAATCCAATGGCCGAGAAATCCTTCTCCGCCGATCACCAGATAAATGTCGGACATTTTCGATTTTTTGGTAGATAAAAATTTTTCTAAAGCATATATATATGTCCGAGAATTCGAATCGAAAATCGATTTTCATTATTATTTTTTTGCTCTTTTTGATTTTCATGGGATTGGTAGATCTTGTACAGTTATTATACCAAACGAGTAACACCTTTTAATTAGACCACGCCATTTTGATAAGAAAAATATTACATATCTTACGACGATATGGTTTAATGCATATTGAACATTTTTTTTTTAATGTGTGTGATTAGTAAATAATAATCGGTTTTTTGTTAATGATTTTTTTTAATTAGTGATTTTTGACTAATAATTCTTTTTTAATAACAAGTTTTATAAAACACATACTGTTATAACTTCTTATACAATATATGTTGTATGTAAAAAAAAATAATTTTAAATGCTTTATATGTACAACCTTAGCTGCTGCGCCCACATTTGTCGATCGCAAAAAAATTATTTTTATCAATACGCGTACTTATTCGTATTTCTTGTTACTAACAACTCTTGATTATGTCCTTGCCAACAGGTCGAATATGGAATACCAAAAAGAGGAAGAGGGGTGAGGCGCTGGAAGTTAGCTTAACAGAGGATGACCAGAAACTACGTCAGTTAAGTAAAAACAAGAGAACACGGGCATTACAATATGATTTCGAATCGTCAAATCTCGGCATTCGTCAAACCCGCTTTGATGCAAGTGTTTTCGACGAGCTGGAAGAATTCTCATTGACGAATAAAAAGTTGGAACGAAAAGGAGTACAGGGGGGCGCTTTAGTAAATAGTTACGCACAGAAAAAAGTTCTTGAATATACCGAAGGTAATATTCCAGGTTCTCTGAGGAAATATTGGAGGCAACGTTTTGATTTATTTAGTCATTACGACGAAGGGATCCTTATGGACGAAGAAGGTTGGTATTCGGTCACTCCTGAAGCCGTTGCAGCGCAAATCGCCGAACGCTGTCGTTGTGACATAATCGTTGATGCATTCTGTGGGGTTGGTGGAAATGCCATTCAATTTGCCAACACCTGTCGCAGAGTAATTGCAATTGATATCGACGAGACAAAATTAATTTGCGCGCGAAACAATGCAAAAATTTATGGTGTGTATGATCGAATCGATTTCATTTTGGGAGATTACTTCAAGTTGATTCCTAAACTGAAAGCCGATGTGGTGTTCCTGAGCCCTCCCTGGGGAGGTCCATCTTACATCTCAAAGAAAAATTTTGATCTCAAAACGATGATGGTTTTGGATGGCGAAAAATTATACCATGAGACGACCAAAATTACAAACAACATCGCGTATTACGTTCCTCGAAATGTGGACCCTCAGCAACTTGCAGACTTCGCCGGTCGAGGTAATACTTGTGAAGTACAACAAATATATGTGGAAGGAAAATTTAAAACTCAGGTGGCTTATTATGGGGAACTAAAGTGTAAGGAAAATTAATGATGCCATTATTATATTCTTTGAAGATCTGCATAGATGAGGTCAAATTTGACAATGTAATAATAATATGAGAGATTATCAATTTTGATAAAATAATTATTGTAAATTAATTTTTAGATTAAAAAAAAATTATTTTATTTAAGTAACCAACAATCTAATTAGAATAGTTAATAAATCTGAAATTACTATTAATTTTTTTTTTTTCCTGCGTTCTAATATAACAAAAATAAAGGAAATTATGGATTCTAGGTAGTTGAATTAAGAGAGAAAAAGATTTTTTTTTTTTTTTTTTTTTTTTTTACAGAGTAAAGGTTAAAAACAGTATTCATTATGAAAATTTAATTTTCTTATTCTCTAGTGGACAAAAAAAAAAGGCCGTGGGTCATTACTCTCCATTAAGTCTCTAAGCAAGACCATGATGTAAGAATTCAGTTTGTCAGTTGAAACCTTGCGTTGTGATATCGTACAACCCGCGCGCAAGGCGTTGATAATGATTTGTGAACTATTTGTATTCGAGAATTTCTTAGAAAATTCAACAAGACTTTTGTCCTCCAGAAATTCGTTACGGTAATTAGTTTTTTCAATAGATAATTTTTAGTAATGTTTCCCGGCGAAACAGGAATAAAAAAAAAAAAACAAAAACAAATAGAATTACAATGATATTGAAAATTTGGCATGAAAAAAATTTTATACATAAATTAAGTTTCTCCTCTCCTCTCCCATATGTTTAAATGAATACATTTAACCGACTTTCCGGTCCCGGTCTACCTAGAGTACACGGTCGGATACATATCCAATTTCAATTCTTCGATTCCTTGAACCACGGAAGCGGGCTTGATCTTTCTCATTATCAATGTTCGCATGGTGGCATAGAATAATATGAACACACCAAAGGCGACGGGAATGAACCAATATTTGGGGCTCAAATTATGACTCGTTCCGAACGCAACGTTAAATGCCGGAATATAAATGAGCATCATCGCCAGTCCGAAACCAAGAACCACACCAATAAAGTTACGAGGGTTGGCAAACATAAACTTTCCGAACGGAAGGCGATAACGAGCTTTGCAAGCGAATAAATTGAAAATTTGTTGAATCAAGATTGCTAAATATACAATCGAATTTGCTTGGCCCAATATATCGACCTGATCGCTGGCGTTTAATAACCTTCCAGTAGCGGTCGTGTAGTTACTTGCATTATCCGTAAAATAATGATTTGATGAATCCTTCTGCATGGCTTGGGCGTCATACGGCGTGACCCCGTTTGCGTTTAGGACGACAAAGAATGAGACGACACAGCCGATGGCTTCTATTATACCGATTTCAATGTATGCCCAACATAGGAGGTTATTGTCGACCAGAACCTCGTCGTCTGAATCTTCAAAAAATTCCGACCAAAATTTGACGGTGAAATATTTTTTCAAATTTTGGAAAAAGATAGATACTTTGGATGGTCTTATTGGTCGTCCATTTTCGGTATCTGTGATGGTCGGTGTACGACTGAGAGCGCGACGACGAACCTTCTTAATAGATTCGGGCGTCACCGGTTTTCGTGGTCGCAATTCCATGAGGGCGGTTCTACTTTCTGGTGGGTCCCATGCGTATGTCAACGCTATGAACAATTCGAAACCCAAATCGACCAATATAACAAGCAATGGAGTCAACGGTAACGGGATGGGTACTATGACATAGAGTAAGCAGACCATGACTTCTGGAGTCGAATGTGAAATGGTGTACTGAATTGACTTTTTGAGATTTGAGAAAATGAGACGTCCTTCTTCGATTCCGTGCACGGTTGAGGCAAAGTTGTCATCCATCAAAATCATAGCTGCCGCTTCCTTCGACACATCAGATCCGGATATATTCATTGAGATCCCCAAATCCGCTTTCTTCAAAGCGGGGGAATCGTTAACACCATCACCGGTCACTCCAACAATATGACCCATCGCCTGAGCGTGTTTGACAATTTCAAGTTTATGACGAGGAGAAGTACGAGCGAAGATGATTTCTTCTTTGGCAAAGATGTTATCCCATTCCGCTTCACTCAGACTATCGATCTGTTCGCCGTGAATGACGATAGCTTCATATTCATCCTCACCAATGTTTTCAATGGGAACACCAGTGCGTTTGGCCATCATCGGTTTAGTTTCTTTTTTCATCAGATTTATCTTGCGTCCGATGGCCTCAGCAGTCAACGGATGGTCACCGGTCACCATTATTACGCGAATGCCAGCCGTACGACAGCGGCCGATGGCCTCTCGAACACCGTGCTTTGGAGGGTCTTCCAGTGACACCAATCCGACAAAACACAGATCGCTAAGGGGATAATTCTTTAGTTCTTTTTTAAATTCGTAACCTTCCGGATACTGATCTCCGGGTAGTAAGTACTGTGCAAAAGCCAATACACGATGCCCCTTCGAAGCCATATACTCATAAACCTCATCGTATCTGTGCTTGTGCTCTTCAGTCAATGGAATCGCGGTTTTATCTGACAAGATGCTTGAACAAATACCTAGCACACGTTCAGGTGCACCTTTTATATACAAGGTCAAAGGACCATTTTTGTGACTCTTTTGGTGTACGGATAATGCCCACTTCGTATCTGAGTTGAAAGGGATCTCGAAAACTTTTGGATATTTGTTGATGAGCTCATCATAATCATCTATTTGATTTCCGGCGAAACGTATAAGACCGGTTTCCGTGGCATCACCGAAAATTTGACGCTCCGCAAATGGGATATCATTTCGATCAAATTTCGCGCGAGAGCACAGCAAAGAGATATGTATTATCTCCTCTATGCCAGGTGCCCGAGAATCGAAAGGGATGTTTTCATTTTGAGCATTCTGAAAGGCGGAATACATCTTCAGGGAGGACCAGATATTGGTCACGGTCATTTGGTTACGGGTGAGTGTACCAGTTTTGTCAGTGGCCAGAAGGGTAATGGCGCCCAGAGTTTCGACCCCTTGGAGGTCCTTGACAAGCACATTTTGGGCGGCCATTCTTTTGGCGGCAATGGTGAGAAGGACGGTGACAGTTGCAGGCAAACCCTCGGGAACCCATGCGACGAGTACTGAGATGGCAAAACTAATGGTGAGCGAAAAGTTATTGTTGTTCACCTTGAAACCGATACCAAAGAAAATGATGGCGCAAGCGATGGCAATGGTGGCTATGATTTTCACGAAATTGTCGATTTCTTGAGACAACGGTGACTTATTCTTATCTTCACCGGCGGTGAGTCCAGCGATCTGTCCTAATACAGTATTGTCACCTGTACGAATGACAATACCATATCCTTCGCCGGAAACGACAAGTGTACCATTGAAACACAAATTCGTAGCTTCCAATGGATTCTTTTGGTCGTTATCCCTTTTTCGCTCTTGTGGATCAGCTTCACCTGTCAGAGTGGAGTTGTCCACTTTCATGTCGTTAGCAAAAAAAACGAATAAGTCTGCAGGAACCTTATCACCCATTCTCACGAAAACAACATCACCACACACAAGATTCGAAGCTTGTATCTGCATGAGTTTCCCTTCTCTAATGACATGGCATTTTTGTGGAATCATGTTCAAGAAGGATTCCAAAATAGCGGCCGATTTTTGCTGTTGGTAAAATTCGATAAGCGCATTCAAAAATGCCACCCCTATCAAAATGGCACCAAGATAACTCTTAAAAAAAAAAAGTTGTTCCAATGTTAATAATGCTCGAACTAACAATATATATAAAAGATAAAAATAATAGATAAAATAAATGCACACATTAGCTTTGTTTGCTACCCTATCAATGGCGAACAAAATGTACATCAAGATGCCGGCGAAGATCAACAGAATGTTAAACAGAGTCAGGAGACATTCGAGGTATTTCATAAATGGATGCTTCTTCTTGGGTGGAGTCAAAACGTTAGGACCCTTCTCCTCCAACAACTTGGAAGCTTGGACCTCCAGCAAACCACGCGACTCGGCGGGTTTCACTGTGTTGACGTCGACCTTGTAGTGAGCGGATACCTCTTCTACGGAACGAAGATGTTCATACTAAAACATCGAACATGTAAATTAGGGAAAAAACACCAATTTTGAAATCGATAATCCGTCGAATCAAATGCTTACGATGTCGACGTGCTTCTTTGCATCATTTTGGTCATCATCCGAAGGCTGTCTCGTGATTGATTCAATAACATTATCGTCCGGTTTGGTAGTACGCTCAACCTTTATTTGATCCGTGAAGTGGATCTTCGTCGACGAAGTAAGATTACCATCATCCGCAGCGTCGGCTTTCTTTTCGTTGATTTCTAAGTTCAAATATTTGTTAAGGGGACATGAAATTACTCTTGATGTGCGCAATTGCGATGCAATCTCATACCTTCGACGCCATTGGTCACATGTTCTGTCTGTGCGACCGTTTGGCTGATTGACGATGTTATTTCCTCTTCGGGGGTTGATCGAACAGTTTCCTCTTGGGAAACGGAAGGGTCATTAACTTTATCCGACGACATCTGTGAATAGACTAACTATAATCCAAGTCTGCGCGATACTTTAAAGTGCCTGAGTACGAATTATTGAAGAACATGAGCAAACGACATCTAAGACACAAAAAACTCGAATTAATAAAGATTGCAGTACCCTGCAAAATTTTCAGACGTAGAGACGCACTACGTGTTTCGTTTGATAAGCCGTAGGTAGAAAATTATTTTTATTTTCGTAAAACGGAACAATTATTATGTCAAACGGGCCAGAGAGATAGGACAAGAGAAAGAACGCACGGAAGACGTTACGCTTTCAGATCTCTGGGAGTTAAAGTTGATATATATTTTTGAAGCCCTTATATACTTAAAAATGTTTGGTGTTGTGTAGAATATCACGGCACACTCCGCACAAAGAGGGAAAGTGACACTATCGTAACTGCAGTGACCGCATTTGGGTAAACAAAGAATAAATAGAAATTGATTTAACTGGACTTCGTTTCCCCCTCCTCCCATCTATCGTTTCCATCACTACCCGCAAAATGGAAATTGAATGACCGCCATTAACCATTGTCCGAAAAAACGGTAGCCATCATACATGCTGATCTAGGTTTGTGTAATGATGAAGTAACGGTTGTTGCTTTCACTGATGTCAAGCCAAGCTTTAAGATACAGACAATATTAATATTTTATTATTAGATTTAATTAGTGATAGAATGATAATAAATATGGTGTCCAAAATTTGCATTATCGTGTCATCATTACAAATTTTTGGGAAGTTTTCATTGGCTGACGTCACGATAGCAATCGACTCAGTATCGTTTTATCCAAGATAAAACAAATATGCACGAGAAGAATTAATGAAATGTAAAAAAAAAGATCTTGTCAAAAATAGAAAATAGGAGGCATTCGGGGTTAGACTTTATTCGCAAATTGCAGAACGCATAGTAAGTTTTTTTTTTTTCTTTTTTTTAAAGGAAATGAGAGCTTTTCCGAATATTCGAAAAAAAAATTTATCCCTGCTTTATCTTGCAATCAAACAATTCATGGTATATAGAACTTATTTCGTTCCCTGTAAAATGCAATTAAATTAAAAGATGATTAATATAACAAACATTTTTGCATAACATTGCACATGAAATATAAATACCCGAGCCAATTTAGTAGCTCCATACAATGAACCGAGAGTACCGAAGCCAATAGCGGCAAAGTATACGAACAAAAATGGTTTTCTAGCTGAACCTCCACGAAGCCAAAGGGGTTCGTTGGTGTGTGCCTAAAAATTTCAAGTGAAGAATCTTTGGTTCTTAAGAATCCGGGTTAGGACACAGGCGGTGAAACCTTTGACAAGGCCTTACTTGAAAAAACTTTTGTTTTTCTATCACTCTGTTTGGTCGATTGATCATCAACGTCATTTTCAAATAATAAAAAAAAGGGAAAACAGAGATGTTATGGAAAATAAGGTGAATTTATATTCCTGCCGTCTTTGCACGTTACACGAATTACATGTCAAGTGATGTATGTAAACACAAGTTTCGTAGAAAATATTTCGATGTGATATCTTGTAAATTATCCCCAGCTGTCATTCCTTCCTTCATGCTTGATCGGCCATAACATCCAATTCCATTTGTAGGTGGCTTGAATTCTCACCGGGTTACCTTCGTTCAGAATCTTGCCTGCACAAATTAGTGACATTCGTGTCATTTACTGGATTTAACATTTCGTTCGCATGCTGCTATTACGTGTACTTGCCGTCCCAGCACTTGATACCGAAAGCCTTTCCATGCGTTATATCCTAATTTGTTTTTTTTCTTTTTATTGAAAATGAAAAAAAAACGTCGAGCATCCAACTTCAATCAACTGCTTGCCTTCATCTTCAGCGAAACTCGGGTGATTTCATAATAAGATTTGGTGATTCCCTTTTTGACCCAATGATCGGGAACCTTGGCATAAGGAATATGTGCGCGTCAATATTTTTTTTCTCTTGGAAGAAAAAAAAGTGTTGGCAATTGTTGGAGTCGTACCACTTTGATTCCGACTCCATACTCGGGATAAACATTTATCAACTCAAATAAGTTTTTCCCTCTCTTTGCGTCGACGATAGTGGGAAATTGGATTTCACTGTGATTTAAAAGTTTCCTTGCGATGTTTGTCATAGTTACATGAAAAAGGGAGACAATGAAATTTCGATAATTTCGATGAAGTCTAAATAAGTTATACGATCAATTTTATTGGTCTAATTTTTTTTCTAAAAATACATGTCACATGATCTATCCGGTAGGTCATAAGAATAAATATGGAGATAAGGGTGTCGCCTTCTTGTCGTCGCCCGTACCCAGTTCAGTTAAATTCCAATTGAGCTGAATTGTGGGCAGAATGCTATAGTGATTATATCTCAATTCGTCTACATGTATGTAGGAGGTTAAAACGTTTGGTCCAATGAGTACTGTGTATATTTGGTTATATTTCTTTAGATTAAAATGATCAAAATATGTTGACTCATCAAAGGTAATGACTAGAAGTGTTCGAGAGTTTGTTAACACAGGTTTAATGAGTGGAATAAACTTTGTTCTCAGGTAATTGCTCGCATAAGAGAGATCAGTTAGGTGACCGCTGTTTCGGGTGTTGGGACTATTTTTTTTCGAATGAGGCCAATGATTAACAAATGAATGATAGCATAGATAATGCCAAGACAAATGTGATTGATACTGACGTGTAGAAAACATATTGAGGGAGTGATTCTTTGGCAATATCTTCGACAAATTCATCGGCATTGACGATTTTGGAGACGAGTGTGTGGTTATTACGGATTTCATTCATGGATATAAAAGGATTGTACTTGCGATAATACAGCTCATCTTTGGTATTGTCTCCTGTGAAATCGTTGCCTAAAGAAATTATGCATTACTGACATCAATTCAAGAAGATTGTTAGCAACTACAGAAATACAATCAAACTTACCGGGATAGTTTTCGATGTACGCTTTCCACGAAACCCCACTCGCCTCTAGTAGATTTGGTAAAGAAGGACCGTCGACGTCTACGGTAAAATCCGTGAGCTAAAATGAGAACTTGCTGGTAAGTAAGTATGTTTGGTATATGATACGTCCATTGATTCAGAAACGTTTTCACGGCAATCTTTGGGTTCACATACCACGCCGCCTTTGGACGCACAAATCATGGCGAAATAGTTTGGTTGCGCGGGGTGCCAGATTGCGTGGAAGTTGGTTAGGGATATTCCTTCTTGAGCCTGGGGTTATTAAATAGATCATTTCAGTAAATTTCAACGTTGTAACCATAATTGCATGTGTGTATCTACACTTACAAGACTAGACAAGTAGGAATCTTGCATTGAGACATCGTAACTAGAACTTCCTAATACGACTGTTATGATGCTGTAAAAGTAAAAAAAGTCAGAAAGAAACACTAGATCAAATGTTTTCAGAAAAATATGAAATCTTCTCGTATGCTTGTGATTCTTACCGATCAAAATATACTCCTTTGACAAAAGGTGTATCTCGGGAAGCGGAAACAAGGTAGGAAATGTTTGCAAGGAAGACTACAGTTAGGATGCCCAAATTATAAAATCTCATGTTAAATAAGGATAAGTGAAAACGAAAATTTGGTCGCGTAACAAGTGACACCCATATGCACTCGTGACATTACCATTAAAGGGTTGCAATACCGCAAATACCGCATGCACTCATAAAAAACGTCAGCCAATCAAATTGGCAGTAATAAGACAAGAGTTCAGCTCACTAGTCAATCTTACGTGTTCGATTACGCGATATAATGGTTAGAGTAACAAGGAGTCAATATGCAAAGGAAACCCAAGTGTTACCGGTAGCTTCCAACGCGCAAGAAAACGAGCCGGGCCCTTCGCCCGTGGTAGGAAGACCAAGAGGAAGATCTGCTAAAGCTGAAAAGTCAAAAGTCAATGAGGTATCTTTTCCTTTCAAGAATCAACCTTATTTTCTGATGTTCTCCTTACGTGTAATCTTGACGATTCGAATACAGCAAGCCTCGACCGATCGTTATCTAGATGTGTGGAACACCATCAAAAAACACAAGGACAAGAGGTGTTCATCATATATCGATATTTTTCTATTACTTGAGTTATCAGAACCATCCAATTTATTCTCTATATTATCAATCAACAGAGGTAGACGTATTGCGAGACTGTTCACTTCTTTGCCCGACAGAAAACGTTACCCGGATTATTATGAGGAGGTTGGTGCTTGGATAATATGGCTTTCGTGAACTGATCTGCGCAGAGCTTATACCCGAATAATCATCTATTTGTAGATCAAGAGGCCAATTTCCTTGGAGATTATTAAGGTTGGTTTGTGAGCTTTTGTCACTTGTTCAACATATTCATTTTATACGGTATCCCATTATCGCTTTCCTGGTAAATTTTAATTATATCAAGAAAAAAATTGAGCGCAACGACTACCAGGACGAGGGGGAGTTGAAAGCTGATTTAGAATTAATGTTTGAGAACGCAAAGAGGTACAATGTAGAAGGTTCGCAGATATACAACGATGCCGTCGAGTTACAGGTAACATAGACGATTTCTCTCTCACATCTTTTGTCGTCCTCTCTGCTCAATATATTGCTCGCGAATTCATTTCACATTCAGATTTTATCGCGACAAATGTTGGGAAACCCAGACGATGTGTTCAAGGTTGAGGTCGCGACGCCCAGCTTCATGAACGAAATAGAGCATAAGGGTGAAATCTACCGAATCGGTAAGTCCGCAGTCTCCTAATCAACTCGTGAATTTTCGCAAACATACATGAACATCGCGTTCCAACTCAACAGGTGAATATGTACACATTGTGAACGAGCGTAATCCAAGTAAACCGAATGTCGGGCTTATTTTCAACATCTGGAAAGAGCAAAAGTACTGCCGTGATGCTCCATTTTCATCACTTCGGCAATTCATTGAACTTGTGGGATTAACGCATTTCTAAACACAAATTTAGTAAAGGTTTTGTGAAAATATGTTGGTATTACCGTGCAGAACAAACAAAGCACCAGGCCAGTAAGAAATTTTACAAAGACGAAGTCTTTAAGACAAACACATTTCAAGATCATCCGATTGAAGATATCATTGAAAAATGTTATGTCTTGCCAATCAAGGATTATGTTTCCGGAAGGCCTAAGAATAGCGAAGGCAAGATGATTTATGTTTGCGAGTCGAGGTACACGGAACATGGGAATACTTTTAGTAAGATTAGAAACTGGCTAGGGTGTTTGCCCAGAGATTCGCCTGTTATAAAGATAGAATTAGATAGATTTGAGTCACCTCTAGTTTTGAAAAAAATTGGAAGCCCATTGACTGCAGCTGCGCAGGCAAACGAAGAAGATGAGTACGAATCACGACATTCAACAATGTCTGACGTTGAGCCCGAGGAACCCGAGATGGACTCTGCGCAGACGTCGGAAGCGGAATCATCATATTCCTCACCGACCGGTAAAAGGTCTCATAATAAAACCGCATCCAATCGATTGTCGTCTATTAGGACCAGAAGCTCGAGGCGGCAACAACCCTCTTACAATTCGAATAATCCTGCTGATACGGTTGCTACAGCTTCTCCAAGAACCCAACACCCTCACCACTACTCACCATATCCTGCCATTCACCCCTCATACCAGATGGCTAATATGAATCCTATGATGTATGGTGGTTTTCAAGATTCTGGGATACCACCTCATTATGGTTATTCCTATCCGATTCCTTATCAGCATCCCCAGTCGCACATGATGATGTCGCCTCAATATTCGCATCCGCAAAATTATCCCGTGATGACGCCGCCACCACCACCAGTTCAACCCCATATGAATCAAATGCCGATGCATCCGGATGACTCTCTGTCCAATCCTATAAGACAACAAACACCAGGAATTTCTAAAGAGAAAAACCCAAGCATCGAACTTCCACTGAAGACAGGTGTGAAATTGTCTTCTTAATAATTTGATATTTGATCATAGTTGTTAACAGCTTCACACCAATATTTAGCTGAACATTTTGTACGCGACGAAAACGGGAAGGTACTTTGGTTCGTAACCCCGCCGATAGATGTGACACCATTACCGCAACCGATGCATTCAATCGAGTATCTTCACCGATACGATGAAATACAAGCGCGCAATGTAAGTATTTCCTCGAACACTCGATTGAATCGCTAGTTCTCTTTTTTTTAAAAAAAAAAAATTTTTTTTTCTGTTCTGAATATTTAAAAGAAACTCAGAATGCAAGAGATTTCAGGTTGCGAAAACCAAAAAAAAAATGGTGCGAAAAACCAAGATGCATTGAAATTGAATTCAGTTCAAGAATCCGAATTAATTGATACGGTTAAGGGTATTTATAAAATGATTTTATTTGGTTTGAACTTTGCCTTTTTTCGATTTTCATAGGTCGTAACATCATTTTACGACACTTTTTATTCTTCAGAAATATCAAACGGATGGAAGGGAGACGCCATCGCACTCAAGGCGCGACTTGAAGATCGCTCCTGAATGGACGATCTGTTTTATACAAAAAATATTATACTAATTAATTGTTTTCTAGTATGTATCTACGAATATAATCTAATGTCAAATAAAAGAGGTGGAGAAAGTACGATCTGCATTCCTTCTACCTTTCGATTGTACCCAAATATATGGCGGTTAAAAAAAAAAGGAATAAATATTTTTTGAACATCCAAGACACTAGTCAGGCAATCGAGAAAAAAAGCATTGCAGATTTTCGCATCTGCATAAAAATCCATTAATTACTGATCCACAGAAGTATCCATTTCTTCTCTCTGATTCGTCTCTCCTCCTTCTTCGTCTGATTCAAATGGCACTAAAGGATCCGCAGACTTAAGTGCATATTTTTGCAACCATGCATCCTCAGACCACACTAAATTACGAATTGTATAGATTACAATCACGCAATGATGACAACCCATTTTAAAACGTAAATTGTGATATTAAATTACCGGCTCGCATGCTTCCCTCTTTAATCTTCATTGGTCTAGCCAAATTTACCTTAATCACTTTACCCTTGAAATTGAATCCAATATGAATAAATAAAGTTAGTCTTTACTATGCATATCGTATCCCATATAGGTTCA